CCCCAAAACCCCAAAACCCCATACATCCACATAAATTGCAGTTTTAAAATCTTAAGAATAAATAATTAAAAAAAATCAAGGAATCTGAGATTAAGATTCCTAATCAATATCACTTTAAATAACTTTCATTTTACCTTTAATTCGTTTAAGACTTTTCCCAGATTTTTATTTCTTGGGTTAAATGACCTAGAGTTTATTTGAGCCTTAAGAGAAAGTAATACTTTAACCTATTCTCTCTTCATCTACATTTCTAATGCTAATTTAGTGTCTTAAATGGTCTTCAGTAGCACTAATATTTGAATCATTGAATAGCTTGGAGTCATTTTTATTCAATCCATATTCATAGGCCAAATCATAAGCTTCTTCCTCAAAATCACAGCCACTTTAAGGTTGGAAGAAACTAGTAATTTGAGTTTGCATTCTTTTGATTAGAATTTTATTTTCTTTAATCTCATTGAGTTCATCTGAAAAATCTTTTAATCTTCTCTGAAATACTCCTCTAAAAAGATTTAACTCAAGAGGTTCAAGCTTTTAATCCTTAAACTAAGATATCATCTTAGTGACTTTACCATACATCACAAGTCTTATAAGAGGATTTTTGTTTTCCATTAATTGCACAGTTTGCATCTTTTCATCATCTGAATCAGATGATGAGGATTCAGTTTCAATTAAATTAAATCTCTGATATTACAAAAGCATTCTACTTTTTTAAGGCAGCATTGCTTATTACAAGAGTTTAAATTTCCTTAAGGATTTCAAAAGCTAAATTACATCTAGCTCACCCTTTAATTTTTTTTCTCCTTTCTTATATAAATAATGAACTTTTCCCTAAGGATCTTTTCTCAATTTTTATGATTTTTTAAGACAAATACATTTGACGACATACTCAATCATCCTCTTTAATCCATAAGTAAAACTAGCTCTATGAATAAATGCTAATAGTACATCGTCAATATCATCATGACCGAGCTACTGCTTCTATCTAAATTGATCAGCAATCAAATTTTCATTTACTTTTTACTAAAAATTCTACTTTAGTTTCTAAATTAGAGATGCTTTAGATTTAAGATTTTGAGATTTAACTTTCAAGCTTATAAGATTCAAATTATTTTAGCCTTTAATTTGATCTTGGGGTAAGGTGAATTTTGATTGAGTAATAACTTATCTTGAACTTTCCTATAATTATCAAGAAGAGTTAGAGTTATCTATCTCAGAATTGCAGCTTAATTCTTTTGAGATGAATCTTTTCTTATTTTGACTTAAATCATCATTGCTTATTGATTCTTTTAACATTTAAACTTGATCTGACCTTCTTCTTTGTAGTGCTGGTAAGTGAATAGTTTAAATGCTATCAAAGTCTAATTGATCTTTCACACTTGCTCTTTTTTGTACCTCCTGTTAATGATGATCACGAATTGAAAAGGCTTTTTTAATACTTTCAAAAAGTCCACTTTTTGGACTACTAGGAAGCTATGGATCTTTTCTGATTTGGTAAATTTTTCTTAAAATATCAGAAGTGAACATTCTTGAGCAAAAAAATGCTACAAATACAAATCCTATATATGATAATGAACCATATAGTCCTCCAAGATCCCCCAAAAATTCAAGAATTGAGTAATTTTTAATAAAATAAATATCATATCGATTATCGAATCTAAAATAAATTGCAGCTATGTTTCCTTAACTCGGAGAATAGTTATCATCAAATCTTTGAATATTTAGTATTTAAAAGAATTACTCTGTCCTCTCTTATCCGAATTAAATGAAGTCATCTTAATAATATGCTTCTTATCTTTAAATATAAATGTTTGCTTTTTTGCATTTAGATGACTCTAGTTCAATGTAAAATGAATCATCTATAAAATATTTGACTTTTGATTTGTCCTTAGTGTCCTTGTAATCAAGATAAGTATTTGTAAATGCAAAATTGAATTTTTCATTTTCAAAATATTAATCAATTGTTTCCTAAGGATAACAATTCTCAATAGTAGTGCTATTTCTGCATTTAAATAGTTTAATTTCTAGGTACTCATAGTTATCATCATAGAATCCTCCTTATAATTAGTAATCTTTATCCACCAAGCAACTAAACTTATTTATCCCATAGGCTAATACCTCTTTTTAATTTGTATAGTTGAAATACTAGTCAGAACAATAAGTAAAATTTAAGGGAGTAGTTTATTTATCTCTAATCTTTGATCCATCAGAGTTGAGCTAATCACTTAAATAAAAATTCAATTGATTAACTGTTAAATATCCATACCTAGGATCCAATGATTAATTGTTCATAGTGAATGCAAAATCAAAATAGAAATCTTGAGGCTTAAAAATTCCAGCATTTTTAAAGTTTAAGATTAAAGAAGTTTTTGAAGTTTCAGGAGAAGATTAGTTTACAAGAACTGCTCCTTTGTAAACCCCAAAGCCTGCCAATATCACAATAAGTAAGAATGAAATTGTTGCTCCAAAGTTTGTTTTATATGTATCATCTCCCTTATAAGTCAGACTTATACTCTATCCAAACCAATCAAGTCCTCAGAATCGTTTTTCGAATTTCTAGCATTTGCTTTTTCTATGATTCATCTATTGTAGAGCCTTTAAAGTTTAGAACAAGAATTAAAAATGATTACTGATATTTTCTTTAATTTTTTTACTGAGGTGTTTATGTTTTACTTTTAGTCCATTAATTTAGCAACTGCGGTCTAGATTCTGAATTAATTAAGTATTATGCAAAAACTTATAATGCCAAATTAAAATATCATTATTCATTTATCAAATTTACAACAAATTAAATTACAATTTAATCTTCATATATGTCTTAAGGGGTTTTGGGGTTTTGGGGTTTTGGGG